ATTACACATGAAACAATTCACTTATTTAGAGCATTTCATCCCTAATTCATGATTTAAGGGTTTCAGATCAAGGTTTGTTTATGAGGCCACTATTCAACACAATAATTGTAGAGGTTGCTGATGGAGAAATGTTTTCCTGAGTCTATATTTCTTTTTGATCTTTATCAATGTGAAGGTTCAGAAGTAGCCTGTATGTGATTCTGAGACAATGAAACTCAACTGAATCCCAACTAAATTAGATTATTTCAGGTGTGTCAACGTCTCATGAGGCCAGGCTGAAGCAGCACACCTATTTATTATTCATGTGGAGAAAAGGGGGATCTAATTATCGGTCGGTCTGGGATGATCAGCTGGTGGGAATGTCAATTTTGACATAAACACACAATAATTTCTCTCCATTTTGTATACTATTTGCAAATTGCGATAATCGCATAAACAAGACCGAAGCAGTTCCCCAAAGGAAACGAGTGAAGTGAAAGAAAACAGACTTCAGACCTTTGGATGAAAGAATCGATTTATGGACAGAAACTATATTTCAGGGGATTGTTGCATTCTACTCTGAAGAAATATGTTTCACTGTGAGCAGGTTGCAAGTGGTTCAGGGTTGTGGTGCAGTCTTTTATTCTCAAGTCTCATTTAGTCATCATTTATTATTGCTTTTTGTGGATTCCTGCTGTCAAACACAACAGTCCCTCCATCATTTTTCCATACTGCTACACATGTGGCTTTCAAGTTTGATTCATGTTCAGCTGTCACATCAAAGAAGCAGTGGGTGGTCACACAGGATCCACTCAGAACCTCTATTAACTTTGGAAAGACGACCTTCAACTCTCCACGCAGGGCACCTAAACACAAGAAACACATCCTGAAGAAGAAAGCTTACTGCTCACGTGTCTTGCTTAAGAACTTGTTTTTCTGACTTTTCGTTATCTTTGTGGTTGTTTGGCCATATATGAATGAATCCCATCTCACCTTGCAGCAGACTGGCAATCAGAAGGAAATTCAGAGGTCCAGCCATCTTTCTTTAGAGCGGTGTTTATTTGAAGGCTAATGTCAAACGTGACTTCAGTATTCAGATGGACATTATGTTGAACCTACATATTTTTTCTAATCTCCATTAAGATGACACTAATTCATCACAATAAAGAAGATAAATAATAGATCACTACTTTGAAAATTATAAAACCAAAATAGAACAATTACATTAATAAGTAGTAATTTAGTCAATATGGGTAGGATGTTTCTGTACTGTAAAGATGAAAACATTTGTATTTATTTTTTCGGAAATGGTGAAGAAATGTTAACTGATGTGCAAAAACCAAATAAGTGTTTCTTTACACATTTCACAACATGGCAAAGAAGAGACATGATGATAATCAAAAAGAAAAAAGGAAGTGATATGCTAAAACATGCAGTGACAACAATTGTATCTACTCATTTTATTTAAAATTATTTTTTATTAACTAATAATTATAGAGCATTGTCAAACTATTTCAAAAAAATGTAATTGAATGCCCTTCTAAAAGTTCAACATTTTAAAAAGAATAATTTCTCAATGACCATCTGCTAATTATTTTTGCTCTCCTTTCAAAATTTGGAAATATGTGATGGTTGATTTAAAGCAGAGTGAACCAAACTTACATCCATCAAAAATCTTGTTGTTTTAAACTTAAGTTTTGACTTATTCATATGTTTTTTTGTGGAAATGATAATGACTTACGTTTTCACCAGGTCAGTTTTACAGATGGATGAGAGATGTTCTGTTGAAGTCAAGTTCCCGAGAGGGGATGTTGCCTTTTCAGAGAGTTCGTAGGAATTATTTTCAAAATGAGGAAGTTGCACAAGTGCAAGTAAGTGAGTGATCTTTGCAGCACATTTTCAACAGAAGAGCTACACAGTTTTTATCTGATAAGGTAAAAATGTGTCTCCTAGCAGTAGTGGTCCTAAGTTATGAAAACGACATGGTGTTCACAACAAGTCAAAATTCAGAAAGGTCTGCAGTTCAATGCTGTTGAAGCTGAGAAAGAGAAAATAAGAGTCATTAACATTCCATTCTTAGGTTTGCAATATCACAAGTAATGGTTGTTTTGAAATCAATTTGTCATTTACTTCCTCATTGTTTGTCCGACAGACACCACTGCTGTGGTGTCTGTACAACCATTACAACCAATTTCATTCAAATACACAAATTACCAAAATGCATTATTATTATAGTAATTAGGGAACCATGTTTTAAATGATATCAGGGCTTTGCATCAAAACAAATACATATCATACATCCTTTGTCTGTCAGAATGTGTCCAAAATATGGAAATATATTATCAAACATGGTGACGTTAGTTAAGTTTGATGTAAATTAAACCGCAGCGGGTTCTACCTCCCTGTTTGAAAATTATTTTATACGACATAAGACCAAACTATCAATACACTTTAGGATCTGGGAGGTGAAGTGCTGCGTACAAAGTGTTTTCAACACCGATCTAACTGATACGTGATATTCTGTATATATGTCATTATCTTCAGTCCTGATCAGTCCCCAGCTCCAAACGAACCCCACTGAACCCAAATTATTGCCACGCATTCTTAGTACAATATTAAACAATGAATGAGGAGAAGAATCATGTCGTGGTTCAGTATAAATCGTGTCTCTGAGACCACAAACGGAACGTAGCTGACATCTGAAACATTTCATTAGTTCAAAATTGATTGTTTGTAAGCAATTCTCATCATAGTCATGAAGAATTAAGCTGATAAAAGAATGTTGAGTATATTTTTGAGTTGAGGGTTCAGCTCTACAGGATCCCAAACAGAGCAGTCGGATTTATATGAATTCCACTTTTACAGATTGATGTCAGATTGTTATTTGACTCATGGTGGATGATATGAAAGCATCTGCCCCCAAGCCTTACACACAATCTGTTACATAACTTGTCTTCCTCCAATCAGATTCGTGGAAGACTTCAGCAACTCTTCAATATTTGCCCGGAGCTCCTTAGCTTTCTCTGCGTTCTGTCCTTTCTCCACCTGTTCTCCTGCCACCCGGAGCCCCTTCAGCACCGACTGCAGGGCATCGGCATTCTTCACAGAGTCCATCTGGTCTCTGTCTGCCCGGATCTCCTCCACCCAGTCCAGGTACGCCTGAAGTAATCCAAGGTCATCCACAACGTTTGCAATAATTCGGAGGTCCGGCCGACGTTGCTCCAGCTCCCTCAGCCTCCTCCTCCCCACCTCTCCGATGTCATTCCCAACAATGCTGAAGGAGAAAATACCCGGGTAAGAGTTCCTTTCAAGGCATTAACTCACACTAGATGGCAGTGTTTCCATACATTATTACATTGAGAACACTGAGCAGAAGTTGATGTGTTTTAATCTTACGTCAGTGTCTTCAGAGAGGTGTTTTTGCTGAGGCATGTGACGATGTTTTCTGTTCCTCGCTCTGTGATGCCGGTGATGTCCAGATAGAGTTCCTCCACAGTGGTGTTGTGCTCCAGAGCGTTCCACAGCTCCAAAACCCCCTCTGGACCCAGGTTGTTGCCACACATGCTGTACACACAAGTAGAAAAATTGTGTCGCTGTTAAATACATAAATAGTATTGTGTCTAATGACTCATAGCAAGGGCTTGGAGCCAGAAGGATCAGCGTATCTCAAACCAAGGCCTTAGCCTAGATTGGTTGATTATAGTAATTATTGTGACATACTGACAAATTAAGATTTTTTGACAAAGTGATATTATGATAGTAATGACTTACAAGAGCTTCTTAACTTGGCACTCATTTGATTTCAGAACCGCTGATTCTAAAATAGCCGCTTGCTTATCCAGGCAGTTGTATCTCAAACTGAAAGAGAGTAGAAAAACATTAGGTCAATGTTGTTCTTGGCAGTCCATTCATCCCTTTTCACGAAGGCATATTATGCTCAGAGTCATGCATGCTCGGGTACACGCAGCTTGTTAGTCTATCACACACGGACTGACAAGCATGCAGACACAAGAAGACGATACGAACTCTACACAGAAAGGAATCGGCCAGCCAGAAAATTTAAACGCAGACTTATTCAATTCAATTTGTATTTGTCATCTGTTTGACGGACGGGTTAATAATAGTCGAGTCAGTTACTCACTAGAGGGATTCACATCGGTGTAGGATTGGCCCCAGTCTGTTTAGTCCTCTGTTTCCAATGTTGGAGTAGCCTAAGTTGAGCTCCTGCAGCGTGTGGGGCGAGAACTGCAGCACGTAGTGCATAGCGGCACAGTCCACAACACTCAGCTTCATTTTAAACAGGTTGAGATTCTTGATCTCCGGCGCTGCCATGCTGGTGGCTTCCTTCGTGTGGAACTCCATCAGGCAGTGGAGGAGATTCAGGGCTGGCCGGTTCTTGAGCTTTCCACCCTTAAACTGGTCTTGGAACCACAAACCCAGCCTGGCGGGGATGCCAACCCCTCGCTCCATGGGGCAAAGAACAAGGCCATCCAGCTGACCTGCCAGCCGAGCTCGGAGCATTCCCATGAAGAAGCGCGTGAACATCTGGAGGCTCTCCAGCTTGTCCGTGTTGAGGTCTGTGTTTTGCAGGGGTGCAGCTGTGGAGGATGGCGGAGGTAGCCCAAAGCACCAGAAGTCCAGAGCTTGGATTATGTCCTCCTGGCTGGAGAGATTGATTGCGCAGTAGAGCCCAGCCAGATGTTCTTGAACGGTCAAGTGGAAGAAAGAAAACATCTCCACTGTCTCCTCTCTGAGAGGCTGGAGGATGTGACAGAGAAAGGTGCTCTGAAGATCAGCAGGTGTAACACCGAAGCTCTCCAAATCTGCTCTGCTGAACATGATCTTTTTCTGGAGAAGGTTTTCATAAGCCAGTTTTCCCAGGTTTGTCAGTTGCTGCTTTGCTAGCGAGAGAACCTCAGATCTCGGGGTACCTCTCTCTGCACTTCCCCTCAGCGCATGGTGCTTGACTGCTGTAAACAGGTAGCAGAAATACACCTCGCTGACTGTTCTGGGCGGGTTTAGCTCCAGAGACTTTGAGTCACCAACATCTTGATATCCTGGAGAGAAGAACTCAGCCATGGCGGTGCAGATGATGTAGCAATAAAGAGGGATGAAGGACAGCACAAAAAGGTTGTCATTGTTCAAGATGTAATTGTAGACTTTTTCAGCAACTTCTCTGTCTTTGTAGAACTTGGTGGTGTATTCCTTCACCTGGTCTTCCTCGAAGCCCAGCACCACACAACATCTCTGGAAGAAGCGCTTGGGAGCTTCAGTGGTTGGTCTTGTCGTGAGAATGACTGATGCCTCTGGGAGAAGGCTTCCCTTGATTAAAGCCACCATCAGCTCTGACACTGGCACCTTCGAACGGACGTCGATGTTTTTGTCGGGACTGCTCCAGTCCAAGGTGAATTTGAACTCATCTAATCCATCTAAGATGAAGAGCAGGGAGCTTGGTGATGTGAAAAGATCCGGCAGAGCTGCCTTCAGGTACCGGAACCGTTCTCCAAGCAGCTCCAATAAGCTCAGTGGTGCTTCAATCAGATTGAGCTCTCTGAAGCGCAGGTCAAAAATGCAGGTGAATTCACGCATGTTCTTCCCAATCGCCCACTCATAGACGAGTCTCTGTACTGCTACGCTCTTTCCAATACCAGCAATACCCTTCACTTTAACCCGTTTGGGGGGCCGTCCCGATGTTCCTTGGGGCCCCAGCAGATGGCACGGCCGGATACGCTGGCAAGCCTGGTGGACATAGATGCGAGCTCGTCTGCTCGCCAGGTCAAAGTACTCATGTTGGCTGCTGTCAACCGAGTCGTCATCTTCTGTCACAAAAAGGTCAGTGTAGCGGATCTCGATGTGAGAAGCTGAGTTTGAAGCCGCACCCTCACCCTCCGAGTAGCACTTTAACTGCTCTGTGCGTTTCAGAAGGGTTGTTTTATGGGCAGAAATAGGAACTGCAGTGAAGGACAAGAAGATGAAATGTCTTGTCAACAAACTCTTTGTTTTTCTATCAGATCAATACTTTTACTCATCTCCTTCAGTTTGCCTAAGATATTGACGTACCTCGGATGTTGGCCAGCTTTGCACTCCTGCTGGGTTTCAGTTCTTCTTCAGCTGCACAATGAAGATCATTTAACTTGAATGTATTTTTAAACATGCCAAGTCAAGTATTTTTTACCACTAGCAAGACAATACATTAGAAATAATACATATAATATTCTAATATCTCATTTTTGATAAGATAATAAATCCATACCTTTAACCTCAGTAGTCAGGGTGAATCCCTTGCTCTTTCCTTTGAACAGTTTAGCAATGGGGCCTTTAGGCTTCTTCTCTGTGGATATAACAGGATTCATATGGTAAATTATGCATTTGATATATAAGATATTACAAAAGTCATATTGCAAAGTGAAATGGAATCATCTTCTGGGCACTGGGTATGTTTATCCATCCACAGTTGTTGAGATATTTCAGTCTGGACCAAAGTGGGGGGACCGGCGAATTCCTAGAAATCTTATCAGAGCTGAGCTAAATATTCGTTTTACATTTACACTCCTTCATTGCCAAAGTCAGCGAAAATAACTTGGCAAGACATCACAGTTAATTGTACCCTGTTAAAATAATCTTCTCACACCTCTGTAACACAAGCAGTACAACCGAATTTCTTCCAGTCTGTCATTTTGGACGGCAAAACATTGCAAACAATATTATTCACAGTTTCTTGAATTTTAAACGTACGTGTTTATAGAAATTCTGCCAGTCATCACCAGTTTATCAAAGCAACCTTACCTTCAACTTTCATGGGTGCAGGCGCTGGCTTACTGACGTGATCGTCCCTGCAGTGTCTCTCCACCCACACCTGCAGATCTCTGCCGTAATAATCCTGCACCTCCTTCAGCACCTGCAGAAACTTTAGGCTGCTCTCCTCGGTGGCGCACACCATCTCTAGAGCCTGGGCCACGGCATTGGAAGGTGACCTCTCCAGCAGAGACAGGTAGTGGGCAGAGGACAGCACCTCAGCATCACGCAGCCAACGCAGCAAGGGTGCTGGGTGGTCAAGAGTCCACTTCAGCAGCAAGTCCCTCTGGGACCGGAGCAATTGCTGAGCTGAGTTCATGACTTCAGCAAATACTGTCGGAAGGAAAAAAAACAAATACACTACAAGATGTCAAGCCAATAACTTACACTCCGAATAACTATGAAAAGTACAGTTCAGTGAGGAATTATATGCCCATGCTTACCTTAAAGAATATTGTATTGTTATGTTCTGTGTCACTTTCCCTCTCGTCTAGTTTTGCCATTGTAGTCGTGAGTGTTTGCAGGAGAGCTTTTGTGTTCCGTCTTAAGGTGCAGGGAGGCGGAGTGCCATTACAGTAATGCAACCTTTCAAAGGGTCCATAGTTCAAAGTGTTCACGTCTTTTTCCCTGCCTCTGATTAATCGCTTTTGTTTGATCTTGCAGAAATGCGGCAATTCTCTCAAGTGACTTGGAAGTAGCACACAAGGTGAAGAAAATGATCAAACTGCGTGCATTTTCATAACATATTGTGACTTCAAAATCTGAAATGCTGAAAAATAACACTGACTAAAACAGTCTTATATTGTTTTTTTATATATGAACAGACCAGCAGTCTAAACAGTCTCTTGCTGAAGTACAAAAGTTGTAGCGTGACGCTTTTCACCTTTGCTTCCACCCTCTTGCATAACTGCGGTGACCTACTTACATTGACGGATATTTATTGCCAACTAAACAGCTATAGATCAGTGTCAGACAGAAAAGGGAATCATTAATGAGTTGTATTCAACTTTCAATGGAACTTTTATCGCCATCACTCTTATCACACTGTAAGAGGTTTGGTCAGCACGGTTGGTGAAGACAGAAGGAATCAGAAATGAACACATTCAGTTGTTGGAGACCTTTGAGGAAATGGCCAACAGCATGAGAGTGACTCAGCCGTTGTCATGTTTGGTCGCACAGATACTTGCTGAGGTCTTTCTTTCCAAACAGTTCCTACTTCCACCACTTGTATGAGCATCGGAATCTTTTGACATGTCAATAATTGTAAAGTTGGAAACCTACCATTGCAGATTTCAAAATTACAATTTTAGCCATAATTCATTTCCAAATTTATAAATTATCATAAAGCCAAAAAGTATGTATTTCACTATTGCACTATGTTTATTGTCACGTACCAATCACCAAGTCAAATGCCTTGTATGTGTAACGTACTTGACAATAAAACCGTTTCTGATTCTGGTTCTGATAAGCTCAGCGGTGTAATGAATGGATGTAAACAACATTGAAGATATTTAAGATTTTGGAAGAGTTTAAGAGCTAAGCAGAGGCATCAAAGTGAAGTCATAGTGCCAGCAGCACAATGAAACACTCTCAACTTCCCCCTCTTTGCTCCCTTGTTCATCCTGTCCTCTGTCTGTGCTGGCAGAGCAGGGTTGCAGTCATGCATGTGGACACTGTCTTTCTTGTGTGTCCTCTGATGTTTGGTGAGTAATTTAATCATTTATATAATATAGATTATCTTTAGATTTCTGTGAAGATGTCAAGGTTATTCAGTCAAGTTAACCTCATTATATTATCCCCTGTTATCTCTGTTATTACCATAATTATTAATGTAAGATATGGATACATTGTGTCTCTGAATGTCTACTGCAGAATATACTGTCGTGGATGATTACATTATATTCACAGATACCATCTCTTGCATTATTATTATTATTTGTTTAATTATATCATTATCTCCCTGAAGTTGATGACAATGTGATAACACATATGCAAATGTTTCCTGAAATAATCAAGATCATTTTGAAGTATGGTACTACGTAGTAGATTTTCCAGAGACAGCAGTGCATTTACCCTCTTCCCTTTTCTAAATATAAATCTGTTGCGAAATTGTTCTGGGTCATGTAATGTGTTTGCAGACAGTGCAGGAGAATACAGCATAACCTCACGTTAGCTCAAATGTATTCTATGTGATGACCTTTCTGGAAGATATCAAGGGATTAATTCAGTTAGACCTGTGAGAGCTTTGTAGCTTCGAACACGCATGTTTTAATCGGTCATGCACTCCGAAAGTTGTCTTTGGTGTCATGGTGGTCAGGTCAAGCACATTAGACATGAACATCACGATCATGAGGCACAATTTTACGGCTGGATGTCTCTTGTGATTTGAACCTGAGTTCAGAACAAGGCATGGTTACTTTAGATCCTGTGTATTGATAATTATCGTCTGCTCTCTATCACAGCAGCAAGCCTGTGGAGGAGGGTCCAGGCTGTCTCTCCTGTGCCCTCAGTCCCTGACCATGTCCAAGCGCTGGTGGGCTCCTGTGTGGTGATTCCCTGCTCTTTCACTCCTCCGGCACCTCTCAGGGGGAGGAAGGAGAAGGTGGACGTCCGGCTTAGGTTCAGAGGTGGTGGCCACTTCTTCCCTCTCCGCAGCATCGCTTTTAACAGTGAAGACAGAGACCAAGTGAGCCGGGATTTCCAAGGCCGGATGTCCTTCATTGGGCGAATCCCAGATGGAGACTGCTCAGTGAAGATGGAGAGGATCAGCCAGGATGACTCGCGGATGTTTGAGATTGCTCTGAAGAGAGGTGGTGACTTACTCTGGGGGAGGCCAAGGAGCTTCAATCTGGATGTTTTGGGTGAGCCTGGGAGTCGCTGTGCTGCCTTATTGTTCTCATATAAAAGCTGTTGTTCTTTTGGATATCTAACAATCAGATAATGTATGTGTATCCAAGCTTTAGATATTGGAAAAAGTATAAATGCAAAGGAGCAGAAATATTGTATTTTCATGTAAACACAAAGTGGAGAATCACCAACACATGACTTATTGCACACAAAATCCCCAAATGTTCTTGTCAATAACTTTTTATTACATATTGAGTGCAGAAGAGTGTGGTGGATATTGCTTCCCTTCAGGTCAGCTGTAGCAATAAATAAATGAACAAATCATCGATCATAGTCAACAAGTACTTTTTACATTTTAAATGAAAATATGAAACAATATAAACATAGTAATGATGGAGATTTTCCTCACTGTCAGACACCCCTGAGGCTCCTGTCATCAGCGGCATGTTGTCAGCCACAGAGGGACAGCTGGTCAGCTTGAACTGCTCCGTCAGCTATCACTGCCCTTCCAGACCTCCTGCCCTGCAGTGGAGCTGGGAGAGAGGAGCCCAGCTGAACAGCACCGAGCTTGGGGAGGTACAGACACTCCACCCAGAGCCCCACAGGCCGATGTTACTGGCCCCTCTGTCCTTCACTGTGTCTCACCAGGTGAAACCCAGGCTCAGATGTGAAGTCAGCTACCCGGGAGCAAAAGCAGTGTCCGTTTCAAGGGATCTGCATGTGACATGTAAGCATTGCTTTGACGAGTATGTTTGTGTTTCTTTGCTCAGTTTACACCTTTTTTCCCCTTCTTTTCTCATGCTCCGTAGTTTCACCAAAAGATGTAGTGGTTCAGGTCCAGTCCTTGATAGTGCTGGAGGGGGCCAACGCCTTGTTGGTCTGCTCCTGTAAAGCTGACCCCCCGGTGACTGAGTACCGCTGGTCCTACAGTCAACACGGCCGCACGGTGCACCTCCACCAACGCACACACGCGGTCCGGGTGTTCAACGTGACCCGGGACATGAGGGTCCGCTGCACAGCACAGAACCTGATTGGTCGAGGAGAGTCTCGGCCCACTCCGCTGAACATACAATGTAATCCTTATTCCTCTAGGCCCACCTCAATGGCCATACACACATATATTTGGTATATTTGACAGCACGCCTAACCTGCACGACACCAGGCTAAAATGTTTCACTGTCCTTTGTTGTTTAAAGTTTTTAGTTTGTTTCCCCTCTAACTGGTCGGGTGTGGTCAGAGTTGTTCTCTGTTGCACCTGTAACCACACCAAACAGTAATGTCACAGTGTACTGACCACACCCCGGAGTACACTTTGACATCCCTGCAGCAATGTGAGAAGTTAAAATGTTCGCAAAGAACAAGATTTTCAGCTGATGATAATTGTTCTTTAAGGTGTTAAAGTTTTCTTCAGAAATCTTTTCCCGGTTCCCTTTCAACTACAATGTAGCCCAAACGTAAATGGCGAGGGGCTTTCAAGGGCAACCTTTGACATTTTGGGAAATACAGTTATTTGCTTTCTTTCTGAGATTTCTGAATTAATTGATACATAAATATATATTTCCATTGAGACGTAAATATGAAGCTATTACGAACAGGCTAGCAGAGAGCAGAGAGTCCAGGAGGTTACTGGTCCAGGCCAAGAAATGTTCTTGTACATAACCTCCAAATGGTAAATTGGCGTTTTGACAATTTCCATTTTGTACGGATTAAACAAACAAGATATAACACGTTCATTTGTGAGCTTGTGAGGTGCATTTAAGCATTTTTTGGTTTATTTTGGATAGAGCAAGACTAGCTCCTGCATGGCTACGGCTTCATATTTAGCTTCCAGACATGAGACTCGTATTGATCTGCTCATCTAACTCTTCTAATGAATAAGCGTATTTTCTCAAATGTTTTACCCTTTTAAGTAAATATTAAGAGTAATAAGTTAAAGAGTTTATATGGGCTCTTTCTCTCATACAGATAAACCAGCCATCCTCCAGCTCTCCTCCACCTGTGTTGTTAAGGATCTGGATGTGCTGTGCCGCTGTTCAGTTGACTCCAACCCGAAACCAGCAGTCACCTGGAGCGTGAATGGTACTGTTCCACCTCGTGACTACAATGTGTCAGTAACATCTGTGCCCGACACGCTAACGGCCACTCTGAGGGGCCGCATGGACAGACCTCAGACTGTGATCTGTTTTGCTATCAACGCACTGGGAAACGACTCCCTGATGTTGCTGCAGGGAGACGAAGGTGTGTTCAAAGTACAGTTTTTTTCACGCGAACAAAAAGACAGCAGCTCTGCCTCTTGTTTGCTCACTCTAGTGCTGAAACATCTGCGCAACATGCCTGCAGCTTGGAAACACAAGTAAAAGAGAATAAGCTGAAGAGTGCCGCAAAGACAACCTTATGTTGTTGTGCCTTTATTCTACTATGAGTGCAGCTTTTCAGTTGCTGCAGTCCATCTTATATTTCTTCACAATGCAAAGCTTTTAAAAGTGAATCCATTTCATCAAGCTTGAATGTAAATGTCTGAAAAGGCATACCATAATCTATGTTTTTTCACCCATGGCTGGGAGATAAAATTGTATTGTATTATAGTTTCACATCAGATGCTGATCCATCGCTGCTCTTTTTGTCCATAAACAGAGATGGCAACTTTGTTGTGGTTGGTGATACCTGCTGTGTCCATTTGCCTGGCCATATTCCTTCTGTCTCTTCTTTTCTACTGCTGCCGAAAGAGAGCTAGAACGTATGTGAAAAAAAAATCAGCCCTTTAAATGTTCACTTGTATTTGTCACACTTGCTTGTTGTGAGGTTTTAATAAGTACTTGTTGTGCTCCTCTTAGACATGGCCTGAGTAGACGTCCAGCCGTGTACCCTGAAGGAATGGGACTTTATCAGGACCAGATGCCTCTCTACATTAACTGCACAGAAGTGACTCATATCTACTCCAACGGCAGCTACCAACTCGTATACCAGAACTGCACGCCTCTTTTTGTCCATAATAAGCAGGTAGGTTATGTCGTTGGCAACAGAGGGCATTGCATAAATATAAATCGCTAAATATCCAAAATAGAAGCAACATCTGTCCCTTTTTTTCAGATCCGTCCAATGGGCAGAAGAGGTGGAGAAAGAAGAAGAGGAGGAGAGGATGGAGAAATAGACAGACGAGTGGGTTTGGGAGTCAGAGGCACAAGAGAGGTACAGAGTACCGCTGTGGCCGATGCAGAGACGGCAATCTACCTGGAAATCCTCTGAGCTCACTGTGGAGAAGACTCATTATTCACTTGCTACATTAAACTCATATTAGACTTCAGATTCACTCTCACACTAATGGTAATGCATAGGTTATGTAACTTTCAGCTATTGCATATATTGCACATCCAATGTGTGATCTCTGTAATATCTAGTGGTGGTGTATCCCTCTCCTAATCTCCATATTGAACAATGTCTGCCTCTTTGAATGTTTGCCTTTAACCTGCCTGTCTTGTTTTTATAAAAGATGAAAAGGTTTGATAAATGAGTTTTTTTTGGTCTTTTCTTTATGTGTCTGTTCCTCAATGCACATAAGCAGTCTGATTTTATTTGATCTTGATGTTCTGCTGCTCCAGTTGCATTTGTAACAACAGCATGTCTAACACAAAGTGATCCTCAGACAGTGTTATAAAAGTTCCCTGGAGGGAGAAAATCTGCTCAGACAGCTCAACCTATAATATATATATATATATATATATATATATATATATATATATACTGTGTATATATATATATATACTGTATATGTGCGTATACATATATATATATGTGTATATTTATGTATATATTTGTATGGAGTCAAATTCAAATTCCTTGTATGCGTTACGTACATGGCCAATAAAGCTGATTCTGATGCATATATACGTATGTATATATAGGTATATATAAATATGTATATACAGTATATACTGTACATTAGTTATTTGGTGATATATTTGTCTCACTCACAAGATGTCTGTACACATCCTGAGCGATTGGTGGCGATACAACTGTGACGGTGCTGTTATTAAAGTGCAGAAGAAGAACACGAAGCTCTGTCATTAGTTGGAAAGAGGAAATTGCGTCATAGCACGACACAGCCTGTAGGTGGGAATATGAGTTCGCCTCTATGCACATTTTTCTTAAAATTAAAAGCGTTACTATACGTCTTGTTGTGTTCAATGTAATTCCAAAGTTAGATGCTGTGTGTCATATGCATAACAATTGCAAAAGTTCGTGCGTCACAGCCCGCGAGGTGTGTTGAAATCATCAGGCTAATCAGGAAAAGTTCACTCTGCCTATTGTTTGCTAGCATGCTATCACGTTAGCCGGCGGTAGATCTGACCAGAAACAAAGTGATTTACTTTAGTTTTCGAGGCTACATTCACAGCCATTGAAAGAACACTTTTATGTGAGATTAGTTGGTTATACATCGCTTAGTGGTAAGACACGAGCCCGTTTGTTTTCCTCCAGCTGTTTTATTAATCTGTAACCTGTTCAGAACCAACAACAAAATGCCAGAAATCCAACTCAAACACGTCGTGTCCTGCAGCACCGAGGACACTGTAAGTTCACTTCTCACTTGCATTGAATTTGTAAAAAAAATGTTCCCCTTCTGTGTCTTCGTAGCAAACTTTGTAGATATATATCTTTAATTCAGCCAAATGTGAGCCTTCCTGCCACTCACTTCTTGTCATAATGCGAAACAGACCCACAAGGCAGACAACCTGCTGAGCTCCGACACCTACAGAAAGTGGAAAGCAGCGCGGCCCGGGGAGAAGCAGATATCGGTCATTCTGCAGGTATGTTTTTGATCCAAATCAAACTCTGGAACTAGCAACTCCGTGACTGTAACTCAAAGACCTTTCTATAGGTCTCCAATAGCCCTGTCTGATCCCGTTCATGCGTTCACTCCACTAAAGTAAAGCTTTGAATCCGATTTGCCTTTTTCCATTAAGTGATTAAGATTGTGCACTCGTGTTTTCTAATAAATTCTGATGTGTGAGGTCATTTGCATTATGTCACCAATTTAAAATGTTGACTTTCGCTCACACTTCTCCTTTGTTGACATATTTTTGTCCTTTTGGGAATCCCCATGTCTGCGTTTTTTAATGTTAGTACCTTCTCTAACTTGCATGCACGTTGTGCTATGAGTCCATTTCCTTTTTTCACAGAATACCTTCAAAACGGTTGCAGTTGTCTTTGTTGTTTAGGGATTATTAGGCAGAAGTAAATTGCCTGTTTGACTGCAAAGCTTTTAACTAAGTCTGGGAGACAATGTCATAACATATTGTGTTTATCTTTGTCTCTTTTCACCTCCTGCCTGAGGCTTTAAGTATAAACTATACCGATTTACACAATATGCTAAACGCACTTTGAAATTTTGATTATGAGGATTATATTACAAAGTATTGTATCCATAAGGAGCAGCTGGTCTATTCCCACATATACGTATGAATGTATTTCTTTAGCATCATGTTACAGAGCAGGGTCTGGTTACTTCAACCTCTTTTCACTTTGTTTCTAGTGTGAGCTTCGTTAACTTGTGTTGTTTTACTTTAATCCCAGCTCGAGAAGGAGGAGCAGGTGCACAGCATCGATATTGGAAATGAAGGGTCGGCTTTCATCGAGGTGCTGGTGGGCAATTCTTCAGCTGTCAGAGACCAGGACTATGAGGTATGTTGTTGCAAACCGAACCGCGTAAAACGTATATCACCTCCTAATTAGTGTAATTACTCTACCGCTGTGTGTTTTGTTCCTTTATACTTTGATGTCGACCGTTCCTAGGTTCTTTTGGTTACGTCTTCCTTCATGTCGCCCACGGAGAGCCGTAACGGCACCAACATGAACCGGGTGCGTTTCTTTGGGCCCCACCAGCTGCAGAAGAGCACGGCACAGGAAAAGTGGGACCGAGTGAAAATTGTGTGTAGCCAGCCATACAGCAAGGTGAGGGCCCCGTCATCTGAATTATAAAACAGAGGGCAAACTGACAGATCCATCTAACTTTGAATCAACAGAATCCAAAATGAATAAGGATCTACTTGTACTGAAGCAGCATGGCTGCACCTCTAGATTAAGATGTTGTTTAGTAGTTTTAAGATAACAACCGAATTAAAGCGTACTTCTGTGTTCATATATACACACACACACACACACACACACACACACACAGAGAAACTGCTTAGCTTTCTGTTTTTGACATTATGTAAACTATGCAGAATTGTCTTTCCAACCTCCCCTCATGAGTTTGAGTCACTGACTTTAACTGTAGCTATTTATTAGCTGTGAGAGTTATGCTGCGGGCAAACTAGAAACAAGTCCTAATCAATAGGAAAGTTATGTTGTGGTCTTTTTTCGTGATATTTTGAAAATTGAATCAGTGGAAAATATAAAAAGTAATACATTCATTTAGTTTACAGATGGATGGCGGCCCTAGCATTGGCCCTTATCGCCTTATTCCTAGGGCCGGCTCTGCTAATGAGCATTCATTCGTTGTTACTTGATGAATTTGTGTGTGTACTTTGCAGAACATAGCATACGGACTGGCCTTTGTTAAGTTCCATTCGCCGCCTGACAAAAGTGATCCTCCTCCAGCATCCTCCCCGGTGAGTCACGCAAAGTCTTGTTTTCAAATTTCCAGGGTGCCGATTGACGCTTTTTATTCCTTTTGATTTGAAGGCTTGAGACGGTGATGATATTGTTGACGAGGGCTGGGTATTGATATTTGTGATACGATTCTAGCTTTTAGTGCTTAAAAACAATACTTTTTCAAACCTTACTTTGTGAAAAAAAGAAACATTCTCATTCATTTACAAAACCCTCTAAAAAAAAAAAAAAAAAAAGGTAAATGTTGTCTTAACACAAAAACGTTGCTTGAATGATGCCAAATAATTGTCTGAATCAGAAAAGTGCCTGATCAAAAAACATGTAAACCAGATTATCTGACCAGACATTGAGGCACACTTTCTATACTTTGGACAAAATCCACCATCTGGAGAAACCAGACACACCGGAGAGACCTCCAGCAAACAAATAAGAGTTATTCATGTTCGTGTCGGCATGAAATTCTATATTATAAGGAAATGTTTTTGTGAGCATGTTGCTGTAAGATTAACTGAGCGGCTGTACTGCTTTGCTCTGACCTAGACATATGTTATATTTATATTTCCAGCACTCAAACGGGGCACACCTTCTCGTGTGTGTGTGTGTGTGTGTGTGTGTGTGTGTGTGTGTGTGTGTGTGTGTGTGTGTGTGTGTGTGTGTGTGTGTGTGTGTGTGTGTGTGTGTGTGTGTGTGCGTGCGTGCGTGCGTGCAGCACCTTTATAACTTGTGAAACACTTTGTCAAATTGAACGTTTTTTGCTATATTAGAGATAACAAGAGAAACTGCACCCCGAGCAGCCCCTCCACTTTGTCGTTTGGTATTAATCTTCTCCTTCTTGTCTCCTGTCAGAAACTGACAAAGTTGGGACAGTTCAGGGTGAAGGACGAGTCTCCTTCAGACAGTCCCAGCCTTCAGCCAGGCAGTCTCTTCTTCAGTCGGGACAATGCAACAAAGTCCAGTACTGCACTCAAAGGTAAATCCATTCATTTCAGCTTACCCCAATAAAATGCTTTCATGTCCTTGTAACAATGAAGTGCTAATCACGTTGAATAATAAAAAAAAGCTGCCAAGAGAGCACTGATTATGCTTTATTTAAAGCTATTTAAGTGTGCCAGGGGACATGAGGGAAGGGATGTTTCAAAGGCAGTCTTTATTGTCAGGCTTCTTTGTTCCCTCACCAGCACTCTGCCCTTTTCTGTCTTTAGTGTCTCCACAGAGCGAGAGGTTGAGTTACGCTGCTGCTGCCCTGCAGGCGGGCGGCAGCGCCCACTCATCAGGCCAAGCTTCCTCCTCCAGCTCTGCCTCACCACAGGTACTAAACCTCCTCATCATTTTCTGAAGGACAGCCAGCAAACAGCGGTTCCCTTAATGAGGAGCAGTTTTCTTGCTTTATTCAGACAACAGGAAAGCAGAGAGCAGAGGGATTTAACAATCACATCGTGTTTGGGAAAGTATAGTGTCTAAAAGAAAAAAATCAAGGTTTTTACCGAATAACTGACTTGAATTTAAATCAGAAAACAAAAGATGTTTTGTTTTCGCTTCTCTTTCTTCACCTTCACATCACAGTAACTTCATCAACTTTGAAAGAGAAAACCAGCTTAAAACATTACATCAGATATAAATGCATCAATGTAACACTGCCTGAGCCCACTCTGGAGGAAGAACTCAACATCAGCTCCATTTCACTTCAAAAATATACACAGAAAGAGTCTATGAACCGGAAAGACACATAAAAAGATGCCCCAGTAATTGAAGTTCTGTTTCCAATTTTCTCGTGTAATGGATTCTCCACCTTTTTTCATAAAAGCTAATCATATTCAAATCTGAACAATCATTGTATTTGCATACTGAAGGGCCATTTTATGTCAGATGGCTCACCCAGGGCTAATTGCTTTCCACATTTTGAGTCGGGTTTATTAGATGTACTTCATTTGTCAGATCACCTTGTGTGGGCAACAGTATCTCCTCCAGAGCACCTTTCTTAGACATACAGGTGCACATTCTTTTTGCTTTTCATTCTGAAAAGGTGAAAATTCATTAGTGACTTGCATTAATTGTTTCCCCATAGACACCAGCAAAAAGAAAATTTGAGTTCAGCAAAGAGCGCCAGTCTTCCTCCGGCCCTCCACCCTCAAAGAAAACCAGCCCGGCTGGCTCACCTGAGGGCAAAGCCGCGACCCCCAAACCCAAGCCCAGCCCGGCCGGCACACCGAGCCCCGGCACCGCCAAAGGTAACGCACTTTACACCCGCGTCTGAATCTCAGCACACGGGTCAATTTCATCGCCTTCTTTGAACGTCGCATATTGTCTCTCCAGCTTCCCCGGCACAGAAGTCTGCCGACAAGAAGCGGGAGAGCCAATCCAAACCCGAACCGAAACCCAAACAGCAGAAAGCCGGCGGGCAGCAGGTCCCATTCAAACGGATAATGGACGGGGTGGTGTTTGTCCTCAGCGGCTTCCAAAACCCCTTCAGAGGGGAGCTGAGGGAAAAGGCTCTGGACATGGGAGGTAAATACCGACCCGACTGGACACCCGGCGCCACACACCTCATGTAAGTATCGAGCAGGACTGTGAGAACTGTATGCTTGAGATGTCCTCGCTTCACCATTTATGAATACTTACTTTTTTTCCCTCTAGACGTATTATTGTGATGTATTGCCCCACAGGGTCGATGCAGAGAATCTACCAAGCGTCTGTTTTTATTGTTACAAATATTTCAAAGGAGATGTGCAGCTTGTTTGAAATACCGGCAGTAGAAAAGTGTCCCCACACTGTAGTCTGTAGTTGTAATGGCACTGTTGTTTCTTGTACTTGACTGTCTTTGCCAGTTATCAGATGAAAGAATATCACAAAATTAGTTTTTTATATTTCCACCACATCAAAAAGTTGTTGCTGCTGCAAGCAACACAGTAAACAAAGTCTTCTGCTGGCAAGGACAGCTCAGAATCATGCCTCCATGAAGAGAAACACAAGACATAAATGCACAGTGTGCACGGTGAAGCTGCGTGATGTTGGCGGACGATAAGATCAAAACGTAATGAAAAGAATAACTACTTTATCACGGCCGACAAAACAGATTACTGACGTGTTTCTTTGGAGAATATCATCGAAACACAATCGCGCATTTCATTGCTGAATGTGAATATATGCATTAAAATATTATGGCAGCAGGGCTGATGTGCAATGAAGTTTTATATTATTGTTACCTACAAACATTTTTCAATTGATGGTCTCTAAAGAGATGTTCTTTCATGTGACTTCTATCTGCTGTTGATTATTTATCAGCGACAAACATTGTGTAACAGCCCTGTTAGCACTCTCGGTAATTCAGTTTGATTTTATCTTGATCTCTGCTGTCAGAGCAGACTATTGCCCTTTTGGGATTCAGTAACGTAACCGTTTGTGTGTGTGTGTGTGTGTGTGTGTGTGTGTGTGTGTGTGACTTTTTTGGCCCACTAATCTGCAGCTGTGCCTTCGCTAACACGCCCAAGTACAGCCAGGTGAAATCAGCAGGGGGCACCATCGTACGGAAGGAGTGGGTGATGGACTGCCATAAGAGGAAACAGAAGCTCCCCTACAAACGGTAAGATTGCGAAGTACGAAACAAGGATTTTAATCGTGATAACAGGAAAGTGAAACTGCAATGACGCTCGTATGGAAACTCTTGAGCCGTCAGAAAGGCTCCGGTTTGGCCGCTGGAACATCTGGATGGGATTCCGCTTCTTGTTGCCACGTCTGTGCGTCCACATGGTACGTTCTGTGCACGGCACTCACGCTGATTGAAGCGTCCGCAAATACACCCCTCACAGCAGCGATGCCCACTTGCTACATAGAACATTGTAACCTTGAGCAGCTGATGCCTGCTGTGATCACAAATGCAACCCATCCAGCTCCAGCAGCTCCCTAATTAAAGGCCTCATTACGCGGGGAGCTTTGGTAACGTCCTCCGCCATTGCCCCTAATGAGTCTGTGCTGAATAATGTAAACCAGGACACTCATCTTGGGCAACGGAAGGTCCAAATTAATCCGAGGAGTTTGGTTATGGTGTACTCCAGTGTGAAACTTTGCATTATCGTTCAAGAAATTCCTTCGTACTTGTTGCTTCTGTGCTGATCTTGTCTGGCTTGAGGACGCATCAATTTGCGACCGGGCTCCCACACGGCAAGGTTACTGAGCGCATTAGTCTCCGGCTGCTGTTGCATTTATATTAAGAATAGGAACACTCGGAACTAGAACTAGATATGGTAATAGCTGTGAAAGTGTCCGCCTAAGTAAAAAAAGTCTCGCGCTCAGTCTCTTTATATTGTTCTTAAGCCACTTTCAAACTTGGAATCAGTAGAACTGCTGTCTGCTGGAGATGTGACGGTATTCCAGTTTTACTACTTGTCCTGGTGAAACGTATTGATGGTAACAACATTTCTGTGACTATCATCATTTCCATGGGGCAGGAATACAGCACACTGCTGCAGTGTAATTATTTTCATCATTGATTACTCTAACTGTTTTCTAGATTAATGGTTTGGTCTATACAATATCAGTGAGATTGCCTCTAAATTGTCTCTCTATAGTAAAATATACTATAATGTAAGACAAAGACGAGCAGCAAATATTCCCATTTGAGAACATGAAACCATCAATTGTTTGGCATCTTTGCCTGAAAAGGGACTTTTATTACTTTTTTATGGCCGCTGAGTTTTATCGGTTGTGAAGAGAGAAAAAGGTGCAATCATAATTGTCAAACTAATAATTGCAATTAACGATTTAATTGTCTATTTCTGTTCACTTTATGTGTGTGCTTTTGAATTTGCAACTCAACCTAAATCTACGTTGTGAACTTACATGGCTGCTCATCGCTGCGGCTAACGCCATGTTTCCATTTATGTGAATTATCTAATTAGAAAAGCTGCATGAACACACCAACTCCAGCATTACTTTCCCCGGAGATGTCAAACACACCGCTGCACCCGAACAGCGGAGACGCTCTATGAAGCTATAAATCAAGAGACCCGTCACCGGCACCTCTCTGTCATCATTTTGCGTCGGAAAGCAACAAATTCAGTCTCATGCGAGCCGAACGGTCCCGTCCATCAGCGCTTTGGTTCCACGTTTTGTTTTCCTGACGCTGGAATCTTGTGCTCAGCCGATGGATTCGCAACTACATCACTTTCTGTTTGCTGCCAACTTTGTGACATCGGCTTCATACCGCCTTGATTGTGGAATCTTAACGATTATGCAAAAATAATCACGGTCGGCTCAAATTTTTGCAATCAGGTGATTTATGTAAATCGCATCTAATTTCTCGGAGTCCATCGCTTTTTGGTTAGAAAGCTTAGAAAGCGTTTAAAAACGATTTCACTTCTACAGGAGAAACTGAATGACTCCGGCTTGGAAAATTACCATTTTCAGAATGAAGTGGATGCGTCTGAAAGGGGCTTAATATGGGTGGTGATAATCTCACAAATACATCATCACTTTGTAGCATGAAATCTTCCAGTTCATAGCAGAAACGGTGGCAAAACATGCTTCTCTCTGTCTGATGATTTGTCGTGTTTGCCGCGCATTTTAACGCTTTGAAATTATGCTTTTTCTTTAATTTCTATGTTTTTTTTATTCATGTGAATTCTTAAACTAACCTTTCCTCCGCGGCCCACTTTTTGGCCCTCTGAGGTTCACCGGATTAGTCGATCAGCAAAGAATTATTTGGCAACTATTTTGAGAATCAACTTTCATTTTGCGAGCACAAACGCGGATCCCAGTTTCTCAAATGTGAGGATTTGCTGCCTTCCTTCGTCTCATACGATAATAAATTAAATATATTTGGTTGTTTTTTCATTTCAAAGACAAATCAAATCAGTAATTGACAGATTGATCATTAACGAGGTGGTTTTATGAAGTCTGATCATCACTTCAAGATTCATTGAAATGAGTAGTTTCCTGCAGCCTGTGTCATCATTCTCCCTCACGCTCGCCTTTCTCAATCAATTCCTGATGGTGCCGAAGATCCCTCACCCCCCCGCCCTCGTTGCTAGAATAATCCATTCCCCTGTCCAGCGACGCCATTGTGCGGCGCATGGAGTGTGCGGCTTTGATGATGTATTCTTTATTTAAAAGCTGCATCTGCTATGGGTAATTAAAGGGACCACTTACTTTGATGATGACAAGTGCCCAAACAAATACGTGCACTCTCAAACTGTTGCTCCATCATGCACACAAACACCGTCTCACTGAGCACCTGGGGGCAAATGCACAGCTTCAGCTCTTTCCATGCATACGCACTGTGTAGTGTGTATATACTGTGTGTATATATACAGTATACATATATTAAAATACAGTGTAACATCAGCCAAGAACCCCAGAAATGCATTCTCCATATAGTTATTATCCAATCAGTGAGAATCCAGAGATGAGCAGAAAACACTCGAGCAGCTCTACAACAATGGAGCTGAATAATTAAACTCATTTCTCATTAAAACTCGGGCTCTGTAGCAACATCCCTAAAGAATAGGAAAATAGTTTGCATGTTGGAGCCAAAATATCAGCGCAATCACTCTGTGATAAATCGACGGTAAATACAACCTAATTGCACACACAACCCCATCGCGTAATAGTTATTGTCTGAAAACATTCACTGCATCCTTAATCGTACAGAGTTAAAAGTTTAGGGCTGCAACTAACGAGTCCTTTCATTATTCATTTATTAGATTGTTTTGCACCTAAATTGCCAGAAAATAGTTTTCCCGCGCCCAGTGTGGCACCTTCAGATGTCTCATTACTGTATATATCTGATCGATAGTCATGAAGATATTTAATTTACAGTGATTCAAAACGGAGAAAAGAACCAACGAATGTTTGACACCTTTGCTTCAAGCTAACGTGGGTAATGTATTTTAGAAATAATTACAAATACTTTACAAAAGAAGGAACCTTGTTCCTGTGGTTGTAGCAGGTTTGTAATAAATCAGACTGTAAATCACGTCATTCGGGCCAATCGAGGTGATTGAACGGCTAATCTACCGACCCGCCTGCCTTCCACACGTGCTGCCAGCTACACTTTCATTGGAGAAAAGAGGTGGCAACACTGGGCTGGGTTTGTTTTCGGTCGGATACTTTCAAAAGCTTTAAGTTTTAAAAATCAATTATCAAAATTGTTGCGGATTAACTTTTCTCATTATTTGAGTAATTGTTTCAGCTCCAAACAGAGCATCTGTTCTTTAAATGTATTTCACAATCCGAAGCGCTTCAGCTCGAGTAGGACTGGGGTTTTACGCCCTCTCGAACAAAACAGCGTGTCCCCGGTTCTCTGTCAACAACAGCGCTGATAGAGCGAGTGCTTTAGAGGTAACAACACTTATTGCCATAAGCAACTGTTTCTGCCTCACCCCCGATGCCCACTGTGGCCTTTTTTCATTTTCCAATTTCCTTGGCACTGGGTTTTATGAGGCAAGTAAGCATAGGTCAGTAGAATGTCTCCCTTCTGTGTGAGCGGAAATAATTACTTTAACGGTGGTATTTGGACTCTCCGCACTTAACACTTTCAAGCTGGTAATGCCCAGGTGACTTCACAGTGGCTTGGGGGACTTGATGGAGGGGGTTCGTAGAAATGTCACTTCCTCATTGAACATTTGGCTTTCTTTGTCTCCCCACGCTCTCCTAACCTTTGCAAAGATCATTACAGATGCCTTCATGATCTCTCTGCTAATAGCGCACTCCCTTCATCTTCTGCTACTTTTGTACATTTTCAGGTTTTACTTGATTGCTTATTTATCTGCCACGGAGGCTGATGTTTGTTAGTATTTTCCACAAACATTTGCATGGAAAGGTCACTCATGGGCCAAAGAACAAGTGATATGTTTTGGATCTCGTCCGTTACAAATAGACACTCTGGCAACATTATTCCGTGATTGTGTCACTTAAAAAAAGAAAAGGAATTCTCTGCAATTCAATTACACCGCAATTCAAAACTTACATCATATGCAGCTGTCTTTTATTGATTTTTTTAAATGCTCAGAAAATATGTTTCCGTGACTTTTGCGTTTGGCTGTTTAATGTGGTCGCAATCATCCCTGAAGTTCATGCAAATGACGAGCATACAGACTGACCCCTCGTAGAGGAAAGTCTACTAGTCACAGTCTGAAGGTGGTGGCAGACATTGTGGGCTTCATAAGTGGGACGTACTATATGTTGAATAAGTCTTGATTTCCCACAAATAGATACTCGTTTTTTGGTTTTGCTCAGAAGGAGCGATTCAATTCAATTTATTTTGTACAGCCCAAAATCACAAATTTGCTTCATAGGGCTTTACAATCTGTACTCATGCGTCATCCTCTGTCCCGGGACCCTCACATCAGAACAGGAAGAACTCCCCCAAAAAAAACCTTTAACAGGGAGAAACAAAGGAAGACACCTCAGGGAGAGCAACAGAGGAGGGAATCCTCACCCAGGATGGACAGAAGTGTGATAGATGTCATGTGTACAGAATGAACAACATAACAGTTACAACACATTCATATGACAGAAATTATTCTTATCATGAGAGTAGGAAGCAGAACAATGATGGGAAATGTGTGACTACTAATGATAACAGCAGCAGTGGATACAGTAGAATAACAATGATAACAAAAGCAGTAATGGCATCGGCAATAGCAATGTGACTGCTGATAATAATGATAGTAGCAGTGGGTGTCAGGCAGGACCAGGTCCAGATATACACGATCCACGGAAACCTGTGAGGCGAGAAAGCACAAAGACTCCGAGGAAGTAGCAAAGTCAGTAATGTGCGTTAATGGGACATGAAGTTCTACTTTATTGTTATTGTTCTTCGGCACCTTCCTCCTGCAAGCTCCTGTGAAACGCATTGGTCTCTCAAAATAAAACTCCTCCTCCCTACTGTGTTGTACTTTTCAACCAGGGCTATTAGTAACATCTTGCAAATAGCTAAAGAGAAAAGGGGAATAGTAGTTTCTTTTAACCGAGAGTGACTGTGAAACAAGAAAAGGGCTTTGGGGCAAAGCCTAACTCATCACTGGTCTGATGTTTCTTTATTTATTTTCCTCCTCCTGCAGTAGATTAGACTCGGCTCCCAGCAGGCAGACTTAAAAGTATTTAATATACAAACATTGGTGGTTTGGTGACTAATATTACCTTCACTCTGAAGCTTTTTGTTCCACTATTTCCTTACTCGCCGCCATTTGAGACATTGTAAAGCAGTCCTGGTTCTCTCGCCTCTGGCCTTTAATCATCCCGACACATTTTGTTCACCCGTCCTTTGTCTTCCTTCAGGTATTTGATGGATGGAGCAGAGTCGAGCTCGGACAGTGAAATGGAAGTGGACGACCAGAGTGAAGAGGAAATGAACACAAAGGTGGATTTGTACTTTAAGTGAGCCTATACAAAATGATCTAATGAGTAATGTTTTATTACCGTCAGTCAGTTTTAACACTGTGTCCGTGATGTTGCAGACTCCACAGAAGCATGAGAGACAAGCGACCCCCAAAAAGACACCAGAGAAGAGGGATGAAGATGACGAGTATGCCGGCTCCACTGATGTGGAAGAAGCAGGTTTGAGTCAAAATACTCTAATAGAAATTTCCACTGTGACAAAAGTGCATTACCTCGTTTAAGGTTCAATGCCATTTAAATGAATCCGCACTTCTCTTTATTTCTTTGTGTGCTACACAAACTGTCGGGATAAAAAAAGAAAGCACATTAGTGTTCGGAAAAGTGTCTCCAAGCCTTCCAAAGACTCACGCTGTGTTTTTCAATTGACTTGTAGCTAAAGTTCATCTGAAGAGGCAGACAGACGGGTGTAATGATGGGGGAAGAAGGTCTATTGTAACGGTGAAATAGAGAAAAGGGAAAGATGACAGCCAAAATCAAAGAGGCACTTGAAGTACGGATGAAGTTCAAGAATAAAGGAGTAAAAGAAAAAGTTCACAAAATGAAATCCTCCCGTCTGTTGAAGCAATGATTTTCTTGTAAGTCATGTAGACTGGCTGACTTCCTTTGATTCATTGTTGAAGGTAAAGGAAACACGTTGGTTTATGTCCCATGAATGACGGATAACAGAAGATATACACGTAATAACTAAATGAGCGGTCTGTGCAAACAAATACAGTCCGGACCAAAAGCCTGAGTAGAAAGGGGAGGAAACGAGTGTCTGCACTATAGTGCACCAAATTGAAAAATCATAATTAATATGTAAAAGGTACATTTCTTCTGGCTTTCCACTCTATTTTAACAATAAGACAGTGCTGCCATACTCGCCCACACCTCTGTGATCTCTTTGTCCTAACTCAGACGCTGTTCTCCTTCACTGAATACATCTCGACAATCATTTGATTGATTTCTGTAGAATGTTGTGCATAAATGTGTTGTTTCCAGACAATGATCGTTAAAGAGTTTGGTACTTCTGACTGTTCCCAGTAGCACAAAGACTCCTCATCTTTCCTTTAGATCCACCAGGAAGTCAAAATTGACTCGCATTCCCGTCAGCCTCTGCTTTTTTGTTTTATTAATTCCACTTTTGTTTGCATTTGAAAAAGTGGAAGTTTAGCTTTTGTTTCTCTTAGAATTTACTGAATTTACTAATTGAAACTGATAACACTTTACCTCTGCAATTAATAAGAAAAGCCCGGAAAACACCAATTCTCTGTCACAGAGGAGCAAACAACAAACCATATGGTTCGCAGCTATAACCTGATAAAGCAGAAAATGTGTTGTTTTTTTTTTTATTTATTTATATATATAAATAAATAAATAAATAAATGATCCATGAGCTGAATTGCAAGTGGCTGTGGCTCATGGGAAGTGTTTCATTCTAACTAAGGAGGCAGAGAGAAGGTAGCACTGGAGCTGAAGAGGACTGAATGAATTGAGAGGGGCACGGGGACGGTGTTGGGGCCGAGGCATTAGACAAAGAGGGACCACGTTTATGAAGCACTTGGAAATGGATGAGTTGACAACACCACCGTGAAAAGGACGAGAACAACATAGATACTGTAGATGCTGGCCGGGGGCTGGGAAGCAGGAACGGAGGCGAGATGCAATCGCTGTGAAGGGACTTGTGCATGATTCTCATTTCTATGTAAATGCGAGGCCAGAAGTAAAGTGGCGGTGTGCATCAGTGAGGCCGCACAACAAACACTGAGCCCACCGACCACGTAACATGGAGACGGCGTTTTAATTAGACCTCAACAGCACAGGATTGTGTGGCAACGGAAACTACCACACAAAACCTTTTGAACCGCTAATACGTGTGTGCCATAGAAATGTGGATTCATCGAGCATTTTCCTCCTCCTGCTACGCACACTGAACATGTCATTTGGCTGTATTTTGTAGAAAATATGATTATTATCATAGTTAATTAGTTCTAAGTTTAGGGTCATCGTGCAGTGATGGTATGATACAGCAAAATCCTTGTGTTGTCAGTGAACTGATGGGGTTAAATATATGAAAGTTATCACACATTATTTTCTGCAAGGCCTTTTTTTAAGCACAACCAGACAAGTCTGCTTTGTAGGTAAATGTTTTACCATATTGACAAATAAGCCCTTTATTTTACAGGACGCGGTGACGACGATTCTGCCGTGGACACGGAGGACGAGCTGCTGAGGTAAACAAATAATGACGATGATTAATCATGTTTGTTCTCTGCTCTCGTGTTGCCCCACTAGTAAAATGAATGACCCATCTATTCGTACTAGAATCAGTAGTTCCACTTTTACTCGAGTCAACTTTTGATTCATAATTACACCATAACGTAAGTCGGCTACAGGTCGACATCGGGTGATCTCTGAGAAAGCCCTCTGATTAAAGCGACGCCATCGGCCTTAAGATTGGTTCCCCTGTGAGCTTTTCACGGTGCAATCCTGCAAGTGGGTTCGACTTTACTTTCGAAAAAGGAACTGAGAGGTTCCAGACTAATGCGCATCTGTGATTTGGTCCGGCGATATCACCTTAAAGCCTCGGTTAAACTTTTCACTCGGACGTGAGACCGAACGTGGAATCGTGATGAGGAAACATTTGGATCTTTTATTCTCTCGTGTGGGGGTTATCCATACAACAGACATTCTTAAAGCTCCTCAAAGTTCTCTATTTTCTCCACTCATCCAAGTCCGTGTAGTAGTTTGACAAATTAATTTGAGATGTGCACACACTGAAAAAGATCTTCTTTTGTGTTCTTTCAATAACACAGTAAATGCTTTCTGAGGATATCGCTGTACGTAATCCACTAACTACTACTATTGTCTCACAGCCTATATAGAGTGACTTGCAGCAGTGCAATAGAAGTAGCTTTAATTCTTTAACAGATTCATTAGCTTCATAAGAGACCTGCCAACGTAGCTGTGACCGAAGTGCTCAGACAAGATAAAAAAGCGAGAAGCAGCGAGGTTTCTTCCTTTGAGAGGCAAACCTGTAATCATGTAGCATAAAGGATATAACATGCCCCTCTTCTGCCCCTGTACTAGGGTGGAGAATGAGAGCAGACAGAAGAAAGCAGCAGCAGAAGTGAAGATGGTGAAGCAGGAGGATCCATACGGGGGGTCGACAGATGAAAACACAGACGCCGAGGCTGAAGAGGACCACCCTATCCCTGAGCTGCCAGGTCCGTCTCCGTGTCGTCTTGTCTCTTTTGTCTGCTCCCGCTCCTGTTCCCGGAACAGATGTCCTCCCTTACTCGTCGGCCGTTACAAACCCTGACAGAAAATAATTGGATGGCTTTCTGCCTGTCAGGAACTCCACACGCAAACATCACAGTGTGTTCAGTTTTTCTCCTGTTTTCTTTGCTGCTTTCTCCCCTTTTATCAAAGATCACCTATAAGTACTCCTACGTATTATGTAGTCAGCAGTTCCGCTCTTCTTCCCGTTTCTTCCAGACTTCCTGAGCGGAAAGCACTTTTTCCTCTACGGTAAATTCCCCAACAACGAGAGGCGCCTGCTGTTGCGTTACATCGTTGCCTTTAACGGGTGAGAAACACAATACAAGTACAATTACAACTTCAATTAGTCTCACTGTGAGAATCTCTGCGGTTAAATGTTTGTCTAAACTGTCTCTGCTCCAGGCTGATTGAGGACTACATGGCGGAGAAGGTGCAGTTCGTGGTGACCAGTGAAGGGTGGCACGACTCCTTTGAAGACGTCAGTTGAGTCTTGCTTCTTTCTTTCTTCTTTTTTAATAATGTCGTCTAACACGACCTTAAGAAGGTTTACGATGCTGTGGATTCCAACGTGTTTGCATGCATGCTTTTATTTTCTGCTCCAGGAAACGTAATGCTCAATAATACAAAGTGAAAGTCTCTATTCAAAAAGCCACATAGGGGGAAGAAAGGAGACTTCTTAGCAGTTTTCTTTAAGCAGTAAGCTCTCATTTTGCAAGCAATGATCATTCAAAAGCATTGAAGCAAATTGAGTTCTTTTTAGCCCTCCAAGTGAAAATACAGCAGTGTTAGGGCCGAGTGGCTTTTTCATCAGTTAGAAATTGTGGGTTAGATTTGGTTTGTCAGCGGTTTTAGTTATAAAATCCCGAGCTTTCACTTTTCTAAAGGCTGTACACCTCGTCCTATCTGTGCATTTGTAATGCAACAAGATGACTTCTGTCTGTTCCTCTCGCTGTCTCTAAGACAGGCGCTGATGGAGAACGGCAATCTGAACTTCGTCAAGCCAGCATGGATTTACGCAATCAATGAACGACAGAAGATACTGCCCTATCAACCCTACTCGGTCGTCCCCTGAACAACGCGCCGGATGTACACGCGCAGGTGTGCACAGACACACTTTACACTTCATACCCTGACCGATGGGGGAAGGCCACAGACACATTTATTTTTTTGCTGCTTCACTTTCATAAAAGCAATAAACTGTTCATTAATGACTTTCCACTGACTTTAAACTTGCCATTCATGAAGTGTTTTCAGTCCTCAGGGGTTTTCAACACATGTTCTCACCTTTTTAAATGGTGTCTGTTGGGATAAAGTTTAGACGTATTGTTAGCTTTTCATTTGAAGGTTGTTAGTTCCAGCTTGGCCGGAAAGCAACATCTTCACCATCAGCAGACTTTGGCTTCGTGGGCAAAGCACACACTCTCTCTGGTTCAGGACCTGTTAGAATTCCTCGGTTCCTGTGCTGCTGCTCACCTCGGCTTCCTCAGGCGCTGTCTGGAAATGAGTTACCACCCGGTGCTGACTGCCAGCGGCACTGATAAGACTCTGACTTGTGTAAGCGGCCAGACCATTATGAGACCGGCTCAAAGATAGGTGAAAAGTGCCATTTTTTTGTTTAAGACCGCAGCCACCAAATGCAGAAATCAGGACAGCTGAATTCTTCAAATGAAAATGAATACTGGGGAGCTGTTTGCTTTTCTCCTTTTTATTTCATTATATGCCACGAGTGGGGAAAGTGATGGATTTCTGTGCGTTTAAAGTGTGATAAGTCTGATTTTGGTTTTATTCTTGTTTGTGTAATTAATAATAAAATAAATGGACTGGCTCAACAGATGTGAGGACGTACAACCGACGTCAGTGTTTTGCGTCACTCGAGATTTTCAGAATGCCTCTTAAGACCCGAGGAGATGGTCTCAGTCGTGACCATAGACTATATAGAGACCTGTCAATCACTGTGGAGCCCCACCCTAAAGCATACCCTGCTTTATGGTCTATTTGACTCTAAATGGACCATAGTTTACTAAATGAACATCATGCTGTATTGAAGAAGCATCCAGTTCGGCGGGAGGTATTTTCTTGCCCTGTTCATCATCTCACGACCCCTCAGCTTTATTTTGCAACCCCTGGTCGACCCTGAATATAACTTTAACAGAAGTTTGTCCAGCAGTGTTTGAGGAACAGACTCTCTGGAACAAATAAGGTTTCAGTATTTCCTCCATGGAAGTGTTGCATAATAAAGGTCGTCATTGGGAAACTAAAACTCTCTCTTTGAAACGGAGACTGATGTTTATCACACACACACACGTACGCGAACACACACTCACACACAGTGAGTCATGTGACCTGAGGATAAACTCACCACAACCTATCGGTGATGTTTAGCAGTAAACTATATTAATAAAGTAAAGAAATGTGTTTGTACCCGTGGTCCACTGGGTCCGATGGATCCTGTCTGTCCAGTGTAACCCTGAGGACAACAAACATGATCAAATATTTAATATCACTAATGCATCTCTGCAATAAGAGGAGTAAATCATTTCAAAGACAATGCAAAGATTACTAATTCAGTTAATTCAGGAGTGCTGATTAAGTGAAAACACGTGGAAAGAAGTTTATTAAAAAGAGTAAATAAATGATTATGTTAAAGTTACTCTGGCTGCTCACTTCTACTCACTTTACCGTCGCAGTAAAAGCTTTGTACTCAGTAAAAAAACATATCAAACACGCTAATAAATCCCGGCTTGGGAGTCTCCTGGTGGAATTTATGGAAGCGTGTGACGGGACCTTATTTTGTTAAAATTATGATCAATTTCAGCAAACAAAGATCCACTCCGGTGTCTGAGAGGTTATTATTGTGCATTTATGTGGATTATAGAAAACAAATATATTATTCTGTACCTGATGATAATAATGTATCTGGCATAAAGAATAACTTAGGCACCTGCAAAGACATTTACTAAAAGGGATTCTGAGCTCAAAGTTTTGAAAAATTATCAATTTTCGCAATGTTTTTATGAAGAAAATGTTCTATAAATCAGGCTATAAATTATACAACATACCCATCTGTAAAAACCTTAAGAATATAGATATAGTTTCTTGAATATGCAAATGATTAATTATTTATTGCTATTTTGTTTTGTGAATTCAGGAGAAATCTACTGATGCAAATAGACAGAGTAGTAAAATAAATACCTAAAAAACATGTATTATATTGTAAAAAGATAGAAATAATCTTTCTGTAAAGCCAGATTGTTTTTACTTATGAGTCAAAGATGATTCAGTATAATTCAGTTATCTATTAACATTTAAGCTGTTTTCGTCTCTTCAATTAATGCATCATTGATGATGCTCTACACGAAAAAGCACTAAAAACAGACTCGTTAGTTGAATGAAAGGACACCAAACGAAACTTGTCACATATACTTTTTTTACTTTCTTTTTTGTTTACCAACAAGAGACGTTCAAAGTTAATTTTGGACATTTCAAGACGGCCGTGTTTTCGTGAGCGGTGAAGGAGACGGAGTCCTCGCGTTTCGCAGCTCGGTGGGTTAGCTACACGAAGAAACAAAGACTGCTGATCAACAATACAACATCAGAGCAGCTCAGCAGCCGGTGCTGTGGAGAGACTGTGGACACCATGTAGAGAGCGAGAGAGAGAGTGTTGGGCGCCCCGGAGCCACCGGGTCTTCAGTCAAGGGGATTAGAAAACTGGAACGTGGATGTGAGGCAGGGAGAAGGGGAGGGGTGCTTACAGGAGAGAGAGAGAGAGAGAGAGAGAGAGAGAGAGAGGCTGCAGGAAAGATGGGAAGGGTTGGATGTGTTTTTAAAGTACAGCCCGGGATCAGACTTATTTGTATTTTTCTTATTGCGTAAGGTCAATTCACACGCATACCAATAAGTGTGAGGCATGTTAGTACCACTTCCTGCAATCCCATACCTGGTGCTGATTTGCTTTTCATAAGAAGGAGAGTGCGAGATCGAATCCGTTTGGGTTTGGTAGTGGGAAAATTTACAGCAGCTGAGGGCATCATCCTGATACGATGTCATATTTCATTTAAATGCAGAAGCCGGGCTGCTTTCAAATTGTCCCATTTGACGAGTTGACTTTGTTCAAACAGCAGAGTTTCCGTCTAATTCTTGTCACCTTGATCTCTTCCAGCCAGATTTAGTCTCGGCTCTCTGCATATTTATGTCTCCCATGAATCTCGGCAATGACCTTGGATGGCTGCTAAGATAGCCAAACATTGCTCGACTCTGCGGTTGTGATCGTCATTATCACAGGCTCCCAGAGTGTTTCTTTAAAGGCGCAACATGTAGCCACCTGCTCCAAAGAACTACTACTACTGGGTCCGTTCAATCTAAATTTTAATCGGCTATTAAAAAAAAAAAAAAAAAAGGTAACTATTGGTTAACAAAAGGGCAAGAATACTCAAAATTAAACCAAACTGCTAAAGAGAGATGGTCAAAATAACACTTATCTTCTAATCTCCACGTGTGGCGTGGTCCGATATTGTGTCTCTGTGCCGCTGACCAGGAGCTGTGCGGTCTGAATGATTTGATAGTTTGTTTATTGGATAAAATCCAAAGTGGAAGAATCGAGAAAACAACCTGAAGTAGCCTCACGGTAACGGGGAAGATGAGGCGAGGGTGCAAATCGTTTGCTTTGGATTTTATCCACTAAACAAACTTATAAGAAAACACGAGCACCATGGATGTGTTATTGTCGAGCCCTCGGGACGCTCTGCTCCTTCGTTCTCTGGACTGAGGGCAGACTGGAGCTACAGCGACCGTGCTGATGGCTGTAGATATCTCTGCAGCACAATACATTGATTCATTTGTTATGTCAAAACTTTGACTTCTTCACCTTCCTAGGATCATGGTTTTTTTGGGCTAATTTTCCTTCATGGTAGTACAGCTAGAGACAGGAAAGGGGGAGAGAGAGAGGGGACGACATGTAGCAAAGGGCCGTGGGTAGGAGTCGCCAATTCTTTCCTAATGTTTTTAAACCAGCTCACTTGAAAGGGGATGGATACTCGTGCAAAAAAAGTAATTTCTCTGCCTCTGCGCTGGTGGCATTCCGGTTTGAGTTTGTTTGTCCGTCCGTCCGGTCCATTCTCATGAATGTGATCTTCACCTGGAGGGAGTGTCTTAAAATGTGGAGACAAATGTCCTCTTGGGCTCAAGGATGAACCGATTACATTTCTGTGGTCAAAGGATACTGTGACCTCACAAAACACGTCTTTGTCCATAACTGGTACGCTAACTGTGACAGTTTCAAACAAATGTCTAAAATGATGAAGTGGTGACATTTTGCTGAGATGTGGATCTAAACTGAAACTTGACTGGTTTAATTTGATTTAAATCATTTTTGTAGATATTTTTTTTTTTTATCACTTTGACCTTAAATGCAGTTTCTCTGTTGATGATTTAATCTATTTTGAATCAGTCTTGTAACACAATATAATAGGAACATTTCTAACGGGGACTGCTAGAACTATATTTCTAAGCGTCTGTCTGATATCTTTCAGTCAAAAGTAAAAGCAAAAATGATTTTCTCCTCCCTCTGTCACCCAATTATCATGCAGGCACCGTGTGATGTAAAAAGAAAGCGAAAGGTCATTTGCACTGAATTTTAATTTCAGTGAAGTATTAATGAATAGACTGATCTCCTGCATAACCTGGATTATTAAAGTTGTCTTAATCACAGGTTCAATTGATGTAGGTTCCCCTAGAGCTGACATATTTCCCCCCGCAAAGGTTCAGATGCTCCTACAAATTCAAAGGAGAGAAACCTGATGGCTTGAGGCGCTCCAGAGGTGTTCAACGTCAAATGCTGCAGACCTGGATGGAAGGAGTCAGGCTCTCAGAAAGAAGAAGAAAAAAAGCCCAGTTTGAGATAAATTAGCTGGAGTGGAGAATGGATCGTTCATAACGATGGGTTTTGAAAATGAAACAAGCTTTACACAAAAACGTGCAATCAGCAGGTAAAGGTGGCGCTCATTTTAATACTACTACTACTTTATATAGTACTGCTGGGTAGTTTTATCTATAATAACACGGGTATTTGACTCACTATTTTGTATTAATATGAATCTGTGTCGTACCTCAGGCTTTAAAATGAGTGTAGTGGAGTAAAAAGTACAAGCATCTGAAATGCAAGTATAGCATACAATGTAATTACTCAAGTTAAGTTGAAGTACCTCAGCATTGTGCTTATGTGGAGCACTTCAGTACTTGGTTATTTTCCAGAACTGTTATTATTCGCATCTGTTTTGTCCTAATTAGTTTTATCAGGACACGTCAGTCAAAGCGACATTCATGAGTGTATTGAAATATAGTCCGGCTGACATTCCCTGTTCATCCTCGCTAATAGCTTTCTAAGCCACTGCCGTGCTCTCCTGTTGAAGATCATTTACATTTTCATCTCGAGTTTCTTCTTATTTATTCAGATTTTCCCTTTGGCTCCAGTTATCTGATAGAAAGCATCGCCAGCTTGAAGGACGGTGCGGTGCCACTGTCTGAGATTTCTTTTCATGATGTATTGTTTATTATAACAGCTGTGACGGTTTCCCTTTGAGATGTCTTGTCAGTTTTACCATAAGGACTCATTTACTCATGTTCAACTCCAAATGGCATAACATCTCTTTTTTACATTTTGTTATCAAAGGTAATCCATCAGAGTACATGTCACAAAATTGCATCAGAGCATTGATATCAGTCTGGAGTTTTTCATTCTGAAGATGTTCGGCTTATTGCTTCATATTAAAGTTAAATTGTCAAAGATTTTCATTTCAATGAAAATCTGTAAAGTCACCATCACCGAAGGGTAACAATGGTGATTTAGACTATTCCTAAAGGGATATCTTGACATTTTACCAAGTACGCTTATTCTGGCAGAGAATTAACTAGTTAGATGATGTTACCATTGTCACCTCTTAAAATGACAAGGCTACAGCTAGCAACTGGCTAGCATAGCTCAGTGCAAAGAAAATGGGAGAAACGGCTAACGTGGCTCTGTGCAAATGTAATCCGCCCACCCGCTATCAAAGGTCATTAAAGCTTCTTTAATTCTCATTAGATCCTGACAGAAATCAATAAATCAAATGCTCTGACAAAAACAAAATGAAGGGACATGCTGTCAGTGTTGCAGACTTTGCAACTTCCTCGCTAGATTTAGCAACTTTTGGAGCTTGTGTTGCTCGTTGCTTTCATTGGAACAACACCGAGCCGGCACAGGATTTTTCCTCTCTTAAGTTTCCTTTATAGAATTACAGCTGTTTATGAGCCTTTTTTCACCTGGATGGAGACGTGTGATAACTTTGTCAGTTTGTTTGTGATGCTGATTACCAGGAACTTCAAACTGTTCACTTGCGCCACCTCAGCGCCATTGATGTAGAATGTTTCCAGTCATTGTGCTAAAAATATGATAATATGATTGATCATCTATTCCATCCGTCCACCAGACAGCAAAACAGTGTGTTTCTTAAAAATGCTGAACTAAAGCTGGTTACTGAATTAAAACTTCTATTGTGACATATGGGTGAAGCAATCATGGGCACACCAGCATGCTCAGGTAGACATTACTCCTCTATATATTTACATTTGTTTGCTGCTGTTCTTGGTCATCATGTTAAACACAGCTCCTTTAAATTAAGTAAATTATTTCAATAATCCTGAGATTTACAAAATAAATCTTCACTTGAATAAACTATCATTTTTACATTCTACCCTCTTTTTAGATGAAATGTCCCCGTTTGAAATTAAAATAAATAAATGAACCTCATCTTATTAAATGCGCGAATGTGAAATAACGTGTGTGTTTTGGGCTCCATCTCAGCCAATAGCAAAACAGTATTTCTACCGCGAGAGCAGCTGTGCACTGATGATGATGTTTTTTTCTTCTTCCAAGAGGGTGATAAACAACCCAAACTCTGCGTGAAACCTCCCTCAGCCTTCTCTCCTCCAACTATTTACATCCATCCATCCATCCTCCTCATTCCTCCGCGGCTCTATAGACTCCCGCTGCGCTGACCGGCCACCGACAGCAGAGAGGAGGGGAACTACATGACTGAAGAGCGGGGACTTCACGGGCGCGCGCGTGTGTGTGTGTGTGTGTGTGTGTGTGTGTGTGTGTGTGTGTGTGTGTGTGTGTGTGTGCGGACCGTGCACTGACTGACTGACTGAGGTCAAGGTGGGAGGTTCGGTCGTAAATGGTTGGACGGGATGCTGCAGCCCGACAGCCAATTTGTCGCCCGGTGTTGTTCAGGACAGAGGACCTGGATGTGCGCGGTTCTGCCGGGGAGAGGGTAAGTGATCCAGACGCTTTAAACCAGGTCGAAAAAAAGCCGAGTTGCATTGCGATGTGAGACCTGAGTCTATTAAGGTTAAAGTCAGAGCTCATTTATTCGGAGAAAGTGTCGCTGTGACTTTTAAACGTTTCGATGAGGGGATATTTGTTCTGCCTTTTCTTCCTCGTGGTTTTGTGGAAGGATTGACAAGTTTGTGCAGGAGCGAAAACAAGAAATGGGAGCGATACCGATTCTGTGTATAAAAAAAAAAAAGTTATTTTGATATCGACTCATTTGACTACGACAACAATCGTGTATCTTCCTTTTTAATACTGAGCACGAAAGAACAGGTATAGGAACATCAGAGATGGCACAAATCAAAAAAAGGAACATTTACAATGTTACAGTTGTTGTCACTGAGAAATTGTAAAGACCATGAAAAATATACAGGACTGTACAGATGTCACTGACGTGTAGATTCAAGGCTCAAAACAGCTGATTACCAAAACGTAGTAAATAAATACCTATCAAATCATAGATAAACCTATTCCACAATAAAACTGTTAAACCAGTAGTTTGGACATCAGACATTTTAAATTGTGTCTTTGACGTGATACAGACTGAGGTGAATACGAGTAGTGCACCTTATTTTTCAGCTAAAATCAGTGCAGATGGTGTGTACAGGTGACTGCAATTGGTCACATTAGACCCATGAAACTAAACTCCTGGATCATTTATTTCATCTCCTTTTAAATTCCTTGAATGTTTGAATTTCATCACTCACTTTCATCTGATTATGTTCCTCTATGATGCTGCACATGTTTGTAGTACTGCTGCCTTTTGCACAAACACATTTTCCATATTATATTTTTATTTTGAGGATAGTGTACTAGTGATCCACTGAGGCTAAGGCTGGTCAATATAGTATCGATACGGTGATATGAGACTAGATATAGTCTGAGATTTTGGATATCGTAATATTTCACAAGTGTTTTTCCTGGTTAAAAGTAAAGCGATGCACTTTCCTTAACTTACCAAACTCTGCTGTTCTATTATTTGCATTTAACCACTTCGTCATCCCATCCACATTTCTGATAATTATTTATCAGAAATATCAATATGTAAATATTGTGTGAAGGCACCAATAGCCAGCCCTACAATATTGTCTTAAATTTGCAATATCAATCATGAGGTGTCCGGTGAAAAATATTTTGATATTTGACTTTCTCCACATGGCCCAGCCCTACCTGAGGCCCTGACGTGTATAGCCTGATGAAATAAAATCATCTATTCTCCAATTAAATCGCAGAAATCAATAATAAAATGCACCTTTTTCATGAAACTCTCATTTGTGATACCCTCTGGTGGTCAAAAGGCTGCACAGTGTCAGTGTGTTGGGTTTAGAGGCATTCTCTCGAGATAATGAAACCTAATGTGAAATCCCCTGTCTAGACTGAAATGAGATTTAAAAGGGCAGAATGAAGTCATTTGGCAGTGAGACATGTGTCTAAGTGTGTAAATGGAAAACCTAATTCTACCCACATCTTCTCCTCCGTCTGTGTCTGTGTGACAAATCCTTGCCTCAAGCATCTCCGACAGCAACTAGCGAGAGTTGCACATGGCTTTACACTGAAGCACTTTTTCCATAACAGTCGGTGTGTGTGTTTGATCGTGTTTACTTTGCCTTGTGGTTTAATTTCAAGTATGTGCACATCAGGCACACATCACTTGGAATTGACTTCCAAACGCTGCGGTCTCTCGTGATAAATAAAAGATGGAGACGATGCAAAAAATTGGATGAAAGCTGCTTGTGGTTGGTTTCGGAGCGTCGCCTCCGGGTGGAGATCTCCTCGTGTGACCCGGTATTGAAAGGATTCCGATCAGCCTTTTTTTTTTTTTTTTTTTTTTTTTTTTTTTTTTCCACACATACAAAAGAGAAAACATTTATCATGTCAGAGAGTGCGTCCTCTGCGTTCCTCTGTGTCCAATCTCATCTCTTTCATCATTTCTCTGGCAGATTACTTTTTGCAGGAGCGGTTCAGATGGAGATAATGTATTATTGATTGTTGTCGGTTTCGATATCTTGCCGGCACTTAACATTAACACGTGAAGCACAAAAGATCCACCTCCCCTTCACTCATTTAAACTGTACTCGACGTACACATGCTTTGTGTTTAATGATGTGAAGGCGAGCCTTTCTCTCCGTTTCCCCTTCTCACGCGCTAACACGAGAAGTCGAGAAGTATGAGGTGTCACAAACCACAGCACAAGTCGTTATATCCTAAATGGTGCCATGTCTCTGCGCAGGCTGCTGATTGACTGTATATTACTATATGTATGCTCCAGTTTTAGGAGCACGGGGGAGAAAAAACCACCTATTTAAGCAGCTGTGCTTCTGCTCGTGATCTAAATCTGTCTTGAGATAAGAATTGATCCATGAGGAGAGATCACTGTCTTTCATTGCTTGATTGATTGATTACAAAACAGGTGCATTGGCATATTTTTTGGGGTGAAAAAAACAACTTGTGAATTCTCCTCCTTTGAAGAATGTAATTTCCTGTCCTGTCACTGGCTGCTTGTTAAAAATCGGGGGGGGGGGGAGGGGGAACATGGGAGTGAACAAGAGTGAATCATTTCTGCTCCAAATTCAGCGGAGAGCTGATTATACTGCAGCTGAACATCCACATCACTCGCAGTGGCCGTGACTCTTTCCTGCCTCCTGAGTGAAAGAGATGAAAGATTTATCTCAGGACAGCTCGTTGCCTTAGTCCGAAATTTGAAGGAGTCTTGTGGTGTTCTTTTTTCTTTTTTTCTTTCCAGTGGTGTTGGGGGCAGGCCAGGCCAAGGATGTAATAGACCTGTCAAATGTCTCCAGGGAGGATCTACAGAGGAGGAGATAGAAGGAGAAGGAGATGAGAGGAAAAGCTGTGGAGACGAAGGCCGCTGGATGTTATTGAGGGGAGATTTAGGACAGAAAGGGCATCAGACAACACAGAATGAAAGGAATGTGAGGTCAGGAAACTGTAATGTTGCTACACAAAACGAGATTACAAGTTTGTCTCTTACAGGAGAAAATAAGACATTATTAGGTTTTTAATATAACAGAAATCCACACATATCAATCAAATTTAACAGAATAGTTTCGGTGTTTTCTGTTCAATTAGGGCCAGTGTGCACAACACTTTCAATTTACAGACTTATTCTTATGTGTTTTGTCCGGGGGGGGGGGGGTGACAATATGGTTATAAACGTTTTTCCCAACACAGACCGTCCTTGTTCCATTATGCATTTCATCCCATGCATTTTTAAAGTTGTGGGCCAGAATAAAAAATGATGGCCCAGAGGCACAGCGTGAGGCAGTGGTGGGAGCAGATGAAGTGAAGATGCTAAATCGACCATTGAATTGGCTCTTTGTCTGAAGTCAAAGGTCACAAAGTAATGAGCTGTGTGACGTATTAATAAACAAGTAGTTGAATTATGTTCCCCACACAACATTAAAAGTAACAATATAGACAGAGAGATTCATCACCTGAAGAGTATTTGTATAACAGCTGTTTTGCATGTTTGTATCCTTTATTTCCAAGCGCGGCATCTCCTCCGGTTCATTCTGAAAAAATACAAAATGCAAACACGCTTTTGCAGGCAACCTCTTTGTAACATTTAGTCGCACGCAAACCATCTGGGCTGCGTCTCATTTTGCTGCCTGTTGCTCGGACGAAACAGTCCCACGATACGTTGGTAAATGAGCTCTGAAATGAAGATGGATTGTTGCGGACACACTCCTGTAGCACACATTTGATATTCGTTTTTTAGCTGTTTCTTAAACTGCTATGTAAAAAAAAATGATTTCACAAGTTTGGTAATGGGTGGGAAACTTTTATTTCAATTACGGTTAGTTAAGAAAAAAATCTTTCATTACGCTTTGTTGGTAACGAAAAAGTAATTAGACAAGTTTCCAGCTCACCGCATGACCTCACTGAGAAAGTTTTGCCTTTTTTGTACTTTTTACTTTTGGCTCATTCCACAAAACTTTGCTCTGCTTGGGAGCATCACATTTCTCTAAAATGTCATTTTGCTTAATCATGCATGTATGGGCATAAGTGATATTCATGGGAATAAAAACAACCATACAGCACAGGGAGGAAAATACTAGCAAGTTACACTTATGTCGATATATCAAATAAAACTATACACGTTACTCATCGGATGCTGGAAACATTTCTAGTAATTAATAGAAGTCAAGCTTGCAGTGAGTCAGTAATGCAAACACAGCCGAGCGACTCCATAAGTACCATTCTCAGGCCAAGCGTGTCCGCACAGGGACGTGATCTCCTAAAATATGACCTTAAGAATCACATCTTAGAGAATGAATTGATCTGAAGCCCTAACCTCAGGGACAGTTTAAGACGTGTGTATACTTTGGTGGCCATGCGTGAAATTAAATTGACATCTCGGAGCAGGGATCATGGCACCCTGTTGTTGAAAGGAAACCAATAAATTAATGTTAATCACGGCCTTCTATGACAATGCCCATGATGTCACTGTAGTTGTGTACTTTCCATTCTGCTTGCATATTGCTTCCAGTGGAAATGATGTTTCGGTTGCATTCATCCATGAGCCGTGAATTCTGCGGTGTAAAAAAATGCGAATCATATTTCACATTAAAGCCGTTGGGATATTTTGAAGGTGAAGTAAAGCTTCAGTGATCAAAATGATCTTTTAAGAAGTGTAGAAAGCAGTTTTGCTGCTCCGATGAAGAATGCTTTTATTGAGTCTAATCTCTTTTATGGAATTAAGATGCTGTGGAACGGACCAGCAAGTCCTTAGTCTTAAAACCTTCCTCTTGTGTTAGGGTCGGCACCGACCCGTTTTAGGTTTTAAATGCATAAAAGAACCACAAAAAATGTGTTTATTGCATCAAGGCTTTTTGACTTTGTCAGGAACCTCCATTTCAACAAAATAAAACAAAAACATTTTTTTTCACTAAATTATAAAATGCTCTGGTTGAAATTATGACC